AGATTTATTTAGACATGAACATTCAGGAAATTGTGAATGACAAGAATTATCTAACTCTCGCTCCTTCTCTAAATCAATCTTTTGTTTCGTAGATTTTTATTTTTTACACAGACACACACACTGTATGTAGTATATTCACTCATTTCTCAATTTATGGGTGAGCATCATTAAATAATAAATATTTTTTGCAAACTGCAGCTTGGTTCTTCTGTTTCTCATTAATGAAAGGCTTCTTCCTTGCTTTATAGAACTTCAGTCCTGCATCTACAGTAGGAGCCTGATACAAACTGTTCTAGCAGTGCATTTCACACCTGCACTTAATGTTTCCCGTTCCTTTGGAAGGTCTATTGATGTCATCCTATGATTCATGAGAACCTGTCAAATAAGTTAACGGTCATCTCTGGCGTTAGAAAGTCGGTTCTGCCATCTACCTGGCTGATTTCTGGTTGTTTCTAGTATCTCCTGCTTCATCTTATTCTTCTCTATGACTCTCTTAGAAATTGTGGATCAGGAAGCAACCTGCTGCTCAGCGTAACCTTCCACCAGCAGAACCACAATTAAACCAGGATTTAAAAATGAAGGTTTGTTGAAAAACATATTGGTCTCATTTTTTTCTGTGGCTGTATATAATGTTATAGATATAAACAATATCAGAAATATTGTAATTAATAACATTCTGAACTTACCTATGGAAAATAAAATTCTTGCTGTGGTTTTCCTCATTTCCGGAGAGTTGACATATAAATGTATATCTGTAGAAAACACTTTGTATTTCCTTTTGAAGTTGAAAGCTACCTCTGTCTGTTTCTTCGTTCGAATTATAAATTCCCTTGAAGTACCTTTTTTTTCTGTCACATCATTTTTGTTGTGGGGTATGTTAACTTCTCACATCAGACTGGTATTCTAAGTTCTCAGGCGGTTTTTAAACCTATCTTACTCATCATTTACAAGCAAACACACCTGTATGCATCCTGAGCAAAGAATGTAAGTTACGCCTGTACCTGACGGTGAACTTGTAACCACAACATCAAAATAACTTCCAGGATTAATATGACAACATATGTAAGTTTCAAAAATACTGAACATATTAATAAGACTACCTACCAAAGCACAAGTTGACATTGTCTATACCTCCTATCAAACATTTTAGAAACAATATACTATTCCATATATTTCTGTTCTACACATAAATTCTATTCTTTTTCATATAGATATTCTAATTGTCCATTATTTTTTTGTTTTGTTTTTGTCTGTTTTATCTTCTATTTAAAAAGTTTTGGCGTGAGCCGAAGCAAAAGGCTTCGGGCAGAAGAAGTGAGCATAACTGTAGTGATGTTAAGGGTCCCAGCTGGCACATGACCAACGTTCAGCATTGAAATGTGATTGAAATAATGTCAGTTGTTGTTTCAGTGTTGAAACAACAATGAAACTACGTGGTTATGTCAGGGTCTGCACCAATTTGTCCCAATCTTTTGTTTTCTCTCCCTGTGTGGCCAGCAGGAGTCGCTGGCCATCCTGTCCTCCCCGTTGTCAGTCTTTAGTGTTTCCCCTGCTTCCCAGACAGACCCATAGCTCAATGAGCTGAGCATGCAGCTACCTGTAATCCCCTCAGTCACGTGTTGAAATCTTGCCTCCTCTGTTTTTGTATTTTGTTCCCTAGTGTTTCATGTCAAAATCATCAGTTTTTCTAGTTCCTGTGTTTTGAGATTTGTATTCAGTTTTGGTTTTTGTCATAGATTCTGTTTCCTAGTTTGAGTTTCATAGTTTAGTTTTATTAGATTCACCTGTTGCCTGTTTTCCCAGCCCTTGATAATTGTTTTCACCTGTCCTGCATTATTCTTGTTACCCCTCTATATTTAAGTTCCTGCATTAGTTCAGTTCCCCAGTGGGTCATTGTTGGATGTCATGTTATTTCAGAAGGTGTTTTCAGAGTCTTAGAAGTTACCCTATGTTGTGTTATTTTAGGGTGACCAGATAATCCATGTCATCCCGGACACCTTGAGCTAGGACAGGATTTGTAACCTACTATTTCAATTAAAAGGACCTGGATTTCACTTAAGCACCGAGTTCTTGCTGTGTGCTGATTGGTCAGTCTCCTATAACCATGCACATGTCACTAATGTTAATGTGAAACAGCTGGATGAGTCTTTCAGTCAAGGAAACAAACCAGTCAAAGCACAAGAAGAACTTAACAATTTAGCCAAGCGCAGGAGCCTTTCGGTTTTAAGGTAGTTTGTAAAACCTGAAGTAGCTCAAGGTGTCCGGGATGACATGGATTATCTGGTCACCCTATGCTATTTGTACTTTAACTGCCTGCTCCTTGTTGCCCTGACCCATTTTTTTTCAAGTCAAGTCAAGAGATTTATTTGTCACATACATACAACATGCAGTGAAATGTATCTCTGTGTCACCCTTATGTGGCTGTGTAAAAATAGAAAGAAATAAAAATAGAAAAAGGTAAGAAGTAAAGTCGGAGTAAAAAAGAGAAATTACAATATATAAATACTAAGTAAGGAACCAAGTATATAATCTAAAATATACAGTGCAGATATAAAATCTAAAATCACGAATCAAAAATACAGTGCAAAACTGAAAAATATCACATGTAGTGCAAAATTTCAGACTTTGTGCATTCAGTGCTAGTTCATGTTGAGAGGCCTAATGGCCTGGGGGAAAAAGCTCTTTCTGAGTCTCTCAGTCCTGGACATCAGGCAACGGAACCGTCTACCTGAGTTCAGCCTGTGGAACAGGCAGTTTGCGGGGTGTAAGGAGTCCTTGATTATCTTTGTACTTCTGGACCTGCAGCGTTTATTGTAGGTATCCAGCAGGAAGGGCAGAGGAGATCTGACATGACGCTCGGCCGCCCTGATCATCCTCTGCAGGTCTTTGCGGTCCTTTTGAGAACAGTTCCCAAACCATACTGTGATGTTCATGGTCAGAATGCTCTCCACAGCAGCTGAGTAGAAGGTTTTTAGGATCGCTGGAGTGACCCTA